TAGTGTCCCTTCGAAGGTAGGCTAATAAGGCTACTATTTAGAGATTCTTATAGTCCTTTATCTAGACCTACGCCGTCTATAGTACTACTCTTCCTCCTACCTATAGGGACCCCTCTACCTATTACGCTACCTCGAACGCCGATCCTACTAGTTTAGCGTAGGAGGCCTTCTAGCTAGCTAGTAATAGGCATAATAGTAGACCTTAGCTTTTAATGTTTATCCTTTAGGACAAGAATAGCATTATATACGGCAAGATTAAACGCCTCTATAAGTGTAAGCTCGGTATCTCGGAGGCCTTCTAGCTAGCTAGTAATAAGCATAAAAGCAGACCTTAGCTTTTAATGTTCATCCTTTATAACAAGAATAGCATTATATACAGCAAGATTAAGCGCTACTACGAGTATAAGCTCGGTATCTCGTCCTAGTATGTCTAGTATGCCTATGTTTAGAAGGCTTAGGCTTAGTACATCTCTAATGTATTAATGAAGTTTAACGCTACGTTAGGCGGCTTTACTAATACCGTCTTTAGCCCTATTACCTTAAAGGAGGCTATTCTCGATAATAGCGTCGTTATCGTTAGCGCCGATGTGTCTTACGCTGCTCCCGGTCTTAATAGCCCTTCTATAGCCGCTATAACTATCTCGATAAGCGCTAAGGCTACTCGCTACGCCGCCGCTATTAAGACTAATAGCTACCGCGTCGAGATGATTACTAATAAGAACATTAAGAAGTAAATTATCTCTCTTATCGAGAACGGTTAGTCGAGATAGGTTAGTTAAGATAGGTTAGTTAGGGTAAGGCTCCTACTACTATTATCTACTTCCGCGACGGTATCTCTAAAGGCTAGTTCGCTTAGGTTATTAACTAGGAGGTCGCCGCTATAAAGAAGGCCTTTGCTAAGATTAACGTTATGCCTAGATTCTTAGTTATTATCGCTTCTAAGCGTCATTACGTTCGCTTCTTCCCTTAGAGCGGTAGTGCCTCCTACGGCTTAGATAAGGGTACGTAGAACGTACGCGGACAGTAAAGCTAATCGTACCGTTACTTATATAGCTTATATTAAAAGCCTTAGCGATACATGCACTATAGAGTAGTTATTTCTCTTAACTTCCGCGCCCTTTAACGCTTCCTTTAACATTAATATTAATCGCGAGTAAGTCCTCCTTTGCTATTAAGTTCGTCGGCCTACTATATTTATTAGCTTTTGTTTTCCCTTAGCTCGCCTACCTTAAAACCCTTTATACTGTATACGCGCACTTTAACTATATTAGCTATTAATTACGCGTCTATCGAACACGATCCCTACTATTACCCGTTACCTTTACGCTCGATTTCGCCTTTTACTAGGTCTACCGCACCGACTAGAAGCCCTCTTAGAAGCGCTAGTTCTCTCTTCCTATAACTATCGACTCGACTAACGAGCCCTCTACCCCTACTCTTACCTAACGCGTCGCTACTATAACGACCTATAAAGTCTAGATTAAGAACGAGGAGGAAGACAACTATAATAATACTACTATGTCTACNGCCGCCTAGTCTCNGCGCGCCTATACTCCGCGCTTTAGAGAACTAATAGGTAGTTTCGAAGTAGCCTCCTATATTAAGTCTAAGGGAACTAGCAGTGTTAGCCCTTCTAGTAGTCGTAGATCTAACTCGTCTCCTACTTTATCTTCGGCCT